TAAAGTGGGAGGTCAAGGTTTGAGGAAGCTGGGAAGGACCCTCAGATCCTCTCCTGCTCCACAGGGCCTCTGAGAGCTTGGTTTAGCTAGACACAGAAATGTCCGGAAGAGGTCAGGTGCTGCCAGGCTCGCTGACTGTCCCGCGTCCACTGTTAGATCAAGTTCACTGGCCTGGTGACTTGGACTGGATGCGCCCCTGCACCTACCCCAGCTCCGCGAACAAGGAGCACTCCTTGCAACAGGCGCTGGGACGCGATTCCTGTGCCAGACACTGGTGAGGCTTTCAGACATTCTCTCCCTTAAGCCATATCTGTTTCCTATGGTCTCCACTGTATTTTCTATATCCCACGTTATATGGAATAAAACTGTATCATACATGATGTATTACAATTTCATTTAGTTTTTATATACTTAAATATTATATGCATCCCATGTTACCTATTGTATATTTTATTTATATACATATTTTTACAGTCATTTGAATCAGTTATTTATCATCCCATTTTTCAGATGAGAAAATGGAAGCCCAGCAGGCTTGGATAACTTAGCTAAAGTCCTGCAGCTAGTAAGTGACGAACAGAATGCAAATCGACCTCTCCCTGCAACACAGGGTTGTGCCTTTTCCTCTGTATCGGTTCTTTGGATTGGTCTCATTCTTAGTCACAACTAGGGTGTGTGACCCCAGGCTGCCTAGACCCAAGTCCCCGCCTCTGGGCAAACTCTGCAGCTCCCCAAGCCGGACTCTGCCACCGAGTCGGGACACGGCCCTTTCTCCACAGGCTGAGGGTGGTAGCAGCATTCTAGACGGACTTTTTAAATCCTGGCCTGAAATCATTCAGCAAATTCTGATTCATACAGAAATAGAATATTATGGAGCCCTTAAAAAGCATAGTTAGAGTGTTTTTATGGCTATGAAAATAAATGCTTATATCTAAAACTAATAATAATAATAATAGACAAATACTTATATTTATAGCATGAGATCACCAATATAAAAAGAAAAAAAATTAAAAGAGGAAAAGCCAGAAAGGAAAGTCACCAAATGCTAACAGTGGTTATTTCTAGATGATGGACTTACCCGTTGCCTATTTCTCTTTTTTTTTTTCTTAAAGATTTTATTTATTTATTTGAGACAGAGAGAATGAGAGACAGAGAACATGAGAGGGAGGAGGGTCAGAGGGAGAAGCAGACTCCCTGCCGAGCAGGGAGCCCGATGCGGGACTCGATCCCGGGACTCCAGGATCATGACCTGAGCCGAAGGCAGTCGCTTAACCAACTGAGCCACCCAGGCGCCCCGCCTATTTCTCTTTTTGACTTTTCTGTATCTCACAGTTTCCCACAATAGACATGCATGGCTTTACAATGGGGGGAGGAGGGTGGTGGCATATTTAATACCTGACTGTGGCTTGAAAACTGTGTGGCACCCCTTTCCCAGGCACCTCAAAGGCCCGGACTGGAGCGGTTCCATATGGAGAGCCTGCCCCGGAGCCTCCCAGCAGGCCTCTGCGCCCAGGAAAACAAGGCCTTCCGCGGGGGTGGGCCTCTGGGTTTGATTTCTCTGCCCTCCTGTTCTCCTTTCTCGCTTCACCTGAATAGGCCCTGGAGAAGGGCCAGACTGCAGCCTGCATCCAACCCTGCCCTCCCCCGCCAGTCTGCATCTTCAACTCTGCAGCCTCCAAACCAGACACCCAGCCCCGACTGCTCCCTACAAGCACCTGCCCGGTGTCGGCTTCCGTTCAGGGCGCCTCTGAAATCTCCCCTGCGCTGTGTTGCAGTGTGTCCCACCCTCTCATAGGACAGTGCCCAGAAGAGCACCTGGGAACCCAGAGTGTAAAAGGGACTGTCGCCTCCCCGCTCTTGTCGGTTGCTGTCACCCAGGACCACGCATGAGGCTTTAGCAACAGCCCCTGTGAACTCACTTCTTCCTTTGACATGCATTTAATCAGGGCTTCCGGGGGCCGGGTGGTGGGGGAGCGGGGGAAGCTGAGCAGCCCCTGCCTGGAGGGGTCAGTTCCACTAGGGGAGACTCATGACAACACACTGGATTAGCAGGAGGACTGATGCCACTTCTGGTGGGGTGGCCTGGTGAGGGGCAGACCCCGTGTCTGGGAAAGGCTGGCCAGGAACACTGTGTCTGGGCTGGATGCCTGATAGATGAGGGGTGATCAGACAGAAGAGACACAGGTCAGTGTTTTGTGCAAAGGCAATAGCATGAGCAAAGGAACGGACACACAAATGCGAACGTGTGAGGTGTATGGCAGGTGGTAAAGTCGTTAGAGTTGAACCTCCAGTTCTGCCTGCAGGACCGAGGAGGTAGGAGTCCCTCCTTCTGGCAGAGGGAGCCTGCTGGGTCCTTAAGCAGAGGACCTGGGAGCAGGCTTGTTCTCAGGAGACTGCAGCCACACAGGAGACAGACCCGAAGGTGGGACAACCGCGGGGCAAGAGGGGGAGGGGGCGGCGACATTCTGTCTGTCCTGCCCCCTACACTGCTCTGGAGATCTAGCATGGAGTAAGAGCCACATAATTATTGGGCTCTAGTTCTGAAATGAGAAATTCCAGGCTTTCACAGTCCCGGCCCTGCTGGGGAAACTGCCCTGAGTGGCCAGAGAGTCCCATGCCTGGACACTTGGCATTGGGAACCAGAGAAGTTTACGCCCATCTCCCTGGAGGCCCTGGCCTGTGACTATGAACCTAGAAGAAGCTGGTGGTCTTATTTGTCACCACAGACTACAGCATAGAGCGAGCTATTCTGCAAGAAATGAGACAAAGCTCTAGTCACCAAAACAGTGTGGTACTGGCACAAAAATAGACACATAGATCAATAGAACAGAACAGAAAGCCCAGAAATAAACCCACAATTATATGGTCAATTAATCTTTGACAAAGCAGGAAAGACTATCCAATGGGAAGAAGACAGTCTCTTCAACAAACGGTGTTGGAAAACCGGACAGCTATGTGCAAAAGAATGAAACTGGACCACTTTCTTACAGCACACACAAAAATACACTCAAAATGGATTAAAGATATAAGTGTGAAACCTGAAACCATAAAAATCCTAGAAAAGAGCACAGGCTTCTTTGTAAGTTCTTTGACATCAGCCATTGCAACTTTTTTCTAGATATGTCTCCTGAGGCAAGGGAAATAAAAGCAAAAATAAACTATTGGGACTACATCAAAATAAAAAGCTTCTGCACAGTGAAGGAAACAGTCAATAAAACTAAAAGGCCACCTACAGAATGGGAGGATATATTTGCAAATGACATACCCAATAAACAGTTAATATCCAAAATATACAAAGAACTTATAAACGTCAACACCCCGAAAACAAAGAATCCAGTTAAAACATGAGCAGAAGATATAAATAGACATTTCTCCAAAGAAGACATCCAGATGGCCAACAGACACATGAAAAGATGTTCAACATCCCTCATTATCAGGGAAATACAAATCAAAACCACAATGAGATGTCACCTCAAAGCTGTCAGAATGGCTAAAATCAAAACCACAAGAAATAATAGGTGTTGATGAGGATGTGGAGAAAGGGGAACCCTCTTGCACTGTTGGTGGGAAGGCAAACTGGTGTAGCCACTGTGGAAAACAATATGGAGGTGCCCCAAAAAGTTAAAAATAGAACTACCCTATAATCCGGTAATTGCACCAGTGGATATTTATCCAAAAAAATGCAAAAACACTAAATCAAAGGGACACATGCACCCCTATGTTTATAGTCGCATTATCTACAATAGCCAAATTATGGAAGCAGCCCAAGTGTCCATCGATAGGTGGATAGATAAAGAAGATAGGGTATATAGGGGCGCCTGGGTGGCTCAGTTGATCAAGTGTCTGACTCTTGATTGCGGTTCAGGTCATGATCTCAGGGTCGTGAGATTGAACCCGTGTTGGACTCTGTGCTGGGTGTAGAGTCTGCTTAAGACTCTCTCTCCCTTCCCCCTCTGCCCCTCACATCCCCACTCATGCTCTCTCTTTAAAAAGAAGAAGAAGAAATGGTATATATATGTATATTATATAAATACATATATAACACATTATATATGTATTTATATAATTTCTTATATATGTGATATATATATATATAAAATGGAATACATTCAGCCATCAAAAAGAATGAAATCTTGCCATTTGCAACATGTGGATGGAGCTAGAGTGTATTATGCTAAGCGAAATAAGTCAGTCAGAGAAAAACAAATACATATGATTTCACTCATATGTAGCATTTAAGAAACAAAAAAATGAAGGGCACCTAGGTGGCTCAGTTTCTTAAGCATCTGATTTCTTTATTTTGGCTCAGGTCATGATCTCAGGGTCATGGGATCAAGCCCCGAACTGGGCTCTGCACTCAGTGTGGAGTCTGCTTATCCCTCTCCCTCTGCTCCTCCCTCTGTGTGCTCTCTCTCTCTCTCTCTCTCATAAATAAATAAATAAATAAATAAATAAATAAATAAATAAATCTTTAAGAATAAATAAAGACATCCACTCTCCTCTCACTCCTCTTGTGTTTTTAAATGTCACTCAGAAGTCATTTATTCCTTCCAGTAGAAACCTCTGTATTCATACTTTATCTACCAAGTTCAGCAGCCTGATTTTGGGAAGTATTCTATCTTAAAAAAAATTCTTGCTCAGATCTTTCACCTGTTCCAGATTTTTCAGACTTCAGTACAGCAGCATATTGGTTGGCCCCATTTAAGAGAACAGGAAGAGGGCGCAGCCAAGCTTCAGCCTGACACAATTTGGCTCTGGAACCTTCTGGAAACAGGCTCCAAACCCAAGAAAAGGTGTAGCCTTTCCCAGATGGATGGAGTTCTGCCAACTTTGACCCAAATCTGCATCCCAGGTATGCTGGATGAACAGGAAGATGCGTGCAGCTGGGGGGCACTGGAAGAGGCCCATTTCTTCTTTGCAAAAGCTTGCTGTAGCCCCAAGCCCCTCATCCTCTGGACTTCTAACCAAAGCGTCTCTAGTCAGCCAAGGCAAAGGCCTACCTCCACTCACAGAATTCAGGTTCGCAGCAGGTTCGCAGCAGATTTTCTCCTTTAGACACAAACCAGAGTTTCAGGAAATATTTCAGCATAAATGTCCTTCCTCCCTAAGCTGAAAAGTCTCCCTTCCATTCCTGCAGAAAAAAAAAAAGAAAACTTGTTTTCTCTCCTCTCTGGTTTCAGATGGGTTACACTATGAGGCCAGTTCTCCTGGTTTGGGCAGAAATTCCGTCCCGGCCTGGACCTCCACATCCTTTTCTAATGAATGCCCCCAAACCTTTCTACAGAAGCAGCCTCAAAGTTCAGAGCAGAGGTGAAGGCCCAGGAAGGGTCCACACAGCTGCCAAGACTGCAGAGGGGCAGGAGGGGCTGTTGGTTCGAGGAAGAGGGTGGCCTCTTCGACTCCTGCAACTACCTTGTGTCCTCCATGGGTGCGTGCAGAGCCTCTCAGGGTGGTTGGCTGCTGCAAACAGGCAGCATCCTTTTCATCTCTTCTGACAGAGCACGCTCCACTGTGCCTTCACTGAATGTTTGCTGAGCACTTAGTACATACCAGACACCCTCTTCGTTCCAACTTTTATGACATTGATTTTTCTTCCTCTCTGGAGCAGTCAAGCGTTTTCAGGACTCAAAGTCTCTTTACCCTTCAAACCCCTCCAGTGAAGAAAGGCACACCAGAACAGTACACACGATGAATATTCTGTCTGGTTTTGGTCCAGAGGCAGCCAAATGGTCCGCTTTGTGGGGTCAAACCATGACCAGCCAAGAAAGAGACACTGAGGAACGTGGCCAGATCTCAAGACTGGCTCCATGAGACTTCCCCAAGTAGATGTCCCGAAGCTCCTCGAGCTCTCCAGGTGCTACACCTCTCGCTTGCCCCGTGGCAGGTCCCACCCTGACACCCATCCGCCTGAAGGGCGGACCAGGCCTGCCAAGCGAGAGGGAGGCCAAGGCACCGAGATCCCTCAGCAGCTCCCTGGGGTCCTCTCTGTCTTCCTGCCTTTCTCCACCGGGACACCAGGGAGGCCCCAGGGCCTCTCTCTGTCACACTGGCACAGGGGGACCCAAGGACAAGCACCACCCATTCCAGGAACACAGGGCCTGAGAGGGACAGGTGACCACTGAGAACAGGGCTGTGTGTAGCGTGTGGTGTCTGTGTGGAGTACGGGGGCACAGTGCGTGGTGTATGTATCTGTGCCATGTTGTGTATAGTATGCGTGTAGTCTGCGTGTAGTGTGTGGTGTTTGTGTGTCTATGTGTAACATGTGTGGGGATGTGTGTGTGTGTGTGTGGTTTCTCCAACATGTGCTCTCCGTTCTGGAAGCAATGGAGCTAATAACCTTCATGCCGCATGTGGAAAGATGGTGTCTGGCCCCGTATTCTGCTTAGCTCACCTCGAAGCCGGTGTCCGGGAAGCTGCCCAGCAGGCGGGCCAGCCGCTGTGTGGCTCACTGTCTGCTGGGCACTGCCCCCCGGGCAGAGAATTCGGTGCCGAGGCTGGACGCCGAGGATAGCTCGGGCAGCCTGGGAACCAAAGCCCGGGCCTCCTGGGGCTCACGGAGGGTGTGGTGCCCTAGAAGGAAGGTTCCTGTTCTCCTGGATCAAGCTTCCACACAGGACCCTGGGGGGCTTTGTCCCCATGCCTCCAGGGGACCGGGGAGTCTCTCAGGGGCCAAGCCAATCCTGCTGCACTGGGAGGAAGGCCGCTGTCTGCAGACCGCTGTCCTCTAGGCCTCCTAGCCTCCCGTTCGGAGCCGCGGCTCTGGCTCGGGGCAGGAAGCCTGCCATTGCACTTTGTGATTCTGCCCCGTGGACCCTTGGGTGGGTTTCCAGACTAGCCTGCCCTCCCCCCACCCCTGCATCCTGATGCCTGCTGGTCCCCATACTTCCTCCCCATGTACTCCTTGGATTCCCTCCTGAGAGGCAGGGGCTGTGAGAGATGAACCCACACCCACAAATAGAGGCAGGGCTCCCCAGTGGCACGTCCAGCCTGCTCTCAACACGGTGGTGAGATGGAAGCAAGCAGAAGCCCCAGAGATTTCCCATACCTCTGAGCAAGGAATGGTCTGCCAGAGCCCAGGACCGTCTTCCCAGGTGGCACTTCCCGGGGGTGGGGGGCTTGATAGAAGGATAAGAGGTCCCTGTGCAGAGGGCAAAGCAGGGTGAGGCTGCCTCCTTGGGGGATCACCTACCCCCAGCAAGGAGTTAGGAGGCACTGGCAGGGCAGAAACTCATGGCCTCTACTCTATCCAAAATCTTTCCCTCTCCCAAATATCTTCCATGATGGACAACAAACTTCAAGGATTGACCAGCAGGTGCTGCTGCAGGGGTCTGACCCGAGAGAGGCCGAGAGAGGTGGTAAGATGCAGCTGAGGACTGAGGACCAATACAGGAAGGAGGCCAGCATGCATGTCCCCAGAGGGAGGACTTCCCCGTGGGCCAGGGCTGGTCAGCCTTCACCCTGCTCTGTAATGCAAATGAGCCTTCATGCAACACACCGGAGAGTGTGTGAATGATGTAGGGGCTGCAGTGAGGTTCCCTGTGAGCGGTCCCACGGCCCCTCCCAGATACGGGGGCTGAAAGCGGGAGGGCAGGCCATCCTACCACCAGGACAGTCGGGATTCAAAAACCTCCCCACACTGAGGAGCCGACTACAAGGAACTGCGCAGAAACAGAGAGAGGGCTCCAGCTAAAAACATTGGATAAAATGGCAGTGGTGGAAGATGTTCAGAATTGTTACAATAAAACGCTGGTGGGGCAGGGGGACATCTGCATTTGCAGAGGACAGGAGAATATAGGGCTACAGAAGTTCATGTGAAAATCCCTAAGGTCCTCAGCCCCGGCTCCATGGCCCCCAGGACCAACTAACGAGCTCCTGGTCCTCAGAGGCCCTCCCGATAAGCTCAACCATCTGGCAGGCTTAGAGTCTTCTCCATCCCAGCCCTGTGATTCCACAGCCACCGTGGGAACTGGATTCCTCTAGGACCATTCTATATTCTGAAATTGTGTCTTTGATTTGGGCATTAAAATGTTATTATTTATGTTAAGTGATAGCAATAATAGATGATGGTTTTTTTCAGTGCTTACATGTGTCATAATAAAAGGTTGACAACGTTGGGTTAGTATCTGAAATTCTTTCTGGAAATGGGGCTGGCCTGTGAAAGCCAGATCTGGGGACTCTTGATACAAGGGATGTGTAGGCTTGGATTCCTACAGCCATGGCTCAGAACCCCAGATTCACTGCCCAGGGGTTTGCTTGATCTTAGGCAAGCTTATTCGCTTCCAGGGGATGGCTTGGGAAGTGTTAGTTTTCACATCCTTAAAAAAAAATTGGATGTTTTGATGCACAAAACTTAATTGGATCTTGATTAAAAAACAAACAAAAAAAGGCCAGAAAAGACATTTGAGGAACAAGTGGGGACATTTGAGTATGAACTGCGTTTTAAATGATATCAAGCTATTATTAATTTTCTCAAGTGTGAAAACAGCATAATGGTTATGTGGGAGAAGGTCCTTATTTTTAGGAGATGCATGCTGAAGTATTTAGAGGTGAAGTTTTATGAGGCTTGCAATTTCCTGTGAGATGGTTCAGGGCAGAACAGAAAGGATAGAACAAGAAGCAGATTCAGCAAAATGTTAACAATTGTTGAATCTAGGTGAGAGATATATAGGTATTCACTATATTAGTCTCTTAAATTCTCTATAGTTTAAAGGTTGGTATAATAAAAAGGGGGGAAGGCTTTAAAAACACCTTATTTGCTCATTTGTTGGGCAGATTAAGTAAAACGATATATCGGAGAAAGGCTTGTCTGAGAATAAAGCACAGAAGGACAAACTTATAACTCAATCAACATTCTCAGGATCCTCGTTCTTGCCCCACCCCAAGATGGGCAGCAGAAGAGGGTCTTGGTGAAATCCTGTCCAGGAGATTTATCACCTTCTAGGATATTCTCAATTTTCAACCCCAGCAATAAGCTTACCATTGTGTTTCTGGAACCCCAAGTTATGTAAATTCTATGTATCCATGGGGCTCGGTACCTGACCAAGAAGTCCTGGAATTAACAAAGGACTTCTAAAGCAATTATGAAAGACAGAGTAGGAGGGAGAGATGGAAAGAGTGGCAGAGAGACAAAGAGACAAGGAGAGACAGAGAGGCAAAGAGATAAGGAGAGACAGAGAGACAAGGAGAGACAGAGAGGCAAGGAGAGACAGGAGAGACAGAGAGATGGAGAGACAGAGAGGAAGAAGGGGGAGGAGCAGCAGCGTCAGGGGAAAGAGAAGGGAAAAGAGGAAGAGGAGAAGGAAGAGGAAGAAGGGAAGAAGGAAGAAAGGAGGAAGAGGAGAGGAAAGGGGGAGGGAGGGGAGAAAAGCCCCTGAGCACAACCATGATCACTGGAAGCTTCTATGAAGGCCAGATAATCAGACCAGGGGCAGATGAAAAATGCCTGCCCATTTAGCTTCACTACCAACTTTGTTTATTGCTAATCCTTCTTGTCATTGCTCATAAGCCTCAGCATGGGTTTCTACCTTTATGAAGGGCTACACAACCTCTTAATAGAGACCTACACATCCAAGGACTTGTTGTCCTTGACCATTCAGAAGCTGGGTGTGTGCCCAGGTCTGAGATCCACATGTCATGTGGATGACAGACTGACTTCCAGGTGACTAGGGGGAAATACCCTGTGCTTCAGGGATATCTGAAGGCCCAAGGGGAGGAGATGGGACAGCTACTCAGGCATGAAGTGAAGACAGTGTATTCATTGCCATCTGATACCCTGGTCCTTGCCAGCATGGGAAAGTGCTGGGCTTAAACCTAACTTGGCAAAACTGAGTAGGGAATCAAAGGAAAGTAGTCTCAAAGCACCTGTGATACCTGATCTGGTCATGAGGTCCTTGGAAGGGCTCCCTTTAAGGAGAGGAAAGGTGGGCTCCTGCAGTAATCTCCAACTAAAGACTAGGGAGTAAACATGAGAACCAGACTGCCTGGGCCACAACTTCTGGCAATAGTGCAAGACTCGTCCTAGATTGGTAATAAGTTTCCCATTCTTGACCCAAGACCCAACCCCAGAGCCACCTTAAAATGGTGCTCAAGGGAAGCAAAGAGTCAAAATTCCTACTGAGATGGTGGTAGCAT